TACAGCGTGCTGATTACAGTTAATAACAACATATTACAGACTTGAAATTGGCTAAGAGTAGCTCTCAATTAGATCTCTTACCACAAAAAAAGAGGTAACTATGTGGGAGGATGGATTTGTTAATTAGTGAATTGTGGTAATCATTTCAAAATGTACACATATATCAAAACACAAAACATCACATTGTACACCTGAAATATACACCTTTTATCTGTTAATATTCCTCAATAAAGCTGGAAAAATATCACTCTCACGCATCTGCTTTCTGGTATAATAACTCAAGGGGGAAAGAAAGGAGATGAGAGCTGGGGAGGTGCTGGCCATCAGGAAGTGCTGGCCATGTTCCTGACTGTGAGTGATGGGTATTAGAAAATCACATACATAGAGGCCAAATAAAGGGTGAGGTCCTATCTATGAAAGCTCTTGAATGGGAACATCAATGAGTACACCTTTCACCAGTAGTAATTCCTCTCTTAACGGGAATTGTTTTCCTTTTTGACTGAGCTGGGTGTTTTAGGAGAGATATACATGAAGCAGTGATGGAAAAAGGAGACCTTTTGAATACGATGATACTTAATGAAGTGATGGTTCTCCCAGAAGATTCCCATTCCCCGGCCCTTTCCAGGATTCCAGGAGGCCTTTTGGTGGCTTCCAACAATTAGAGGCACATAGGGCTATATGTCTGCCCACCCACAACTTGTTTCCCAGTGATATGTTGTAATAAAGAAAGTCTCACATGAATTGTGTCAGAGGTACAAATTTTTTTTTGGCAAGCAGCACAAAAAGAAGCATATTCCCTGATTCTATATGCCAGAGAAGTTCTCCAACTTTTACATAGTAGTCCCTTGTAGGAATAAAGTGATCAATAGGAATGTGACAATATTCTAACAGCAAAACCAGCAAGCCTTATAGTCACAGGGGGTGAAGGAGCCCTCTATTAACGGTGGGTCAAAATCCAGGATGCTACTATAAAAGAGTTGGACTTCTGAACTTGCCACATTCTTACACTTCATTTTGCAAAGGCAAAAGTGCTGGTCAGTCATGTATCTGAATACCCTTCATTTCATAAGTGAAAAATGATTTCCAAAATATCTTATGCTAATTAGTGAATCTTCTGGTCAGATTTAGCTAACCTCATTTGAAACACTTGCTATAGCCACCTCTGAATGCAAACTTCCAATTAGAACTTCCTTCAAATACTAACTAACCACTTCTGAGCATTGGTTCCAAAACTTTCCTTGCTCCCAAGAAAGAACAAGGAGAAAACATGCTTGAATTTGGCTTTCAAACATTGTTGGGTGAGGATGGGATGCTTGGCACCTCTGTGTGAGAGGACAAGCCTATAAACAAAGCAAGCAATCTAGAAATGGCAGAACTGGAAGGCAAAAAAGCACGTGGGTCCTTCAGGATGCCATGGAACCATTTTGGGCCATTTTAACTGTCCTTAGGGTATAGATACTCAAAGTGTTTACACTGAATATTTAAAAGTAATTACAAACTGTTTTCACAAGAATGATCATGACCCAACTATCCCTGGAAAACCTTCAGGTGGTATCATAGTCATTTCAAATTCAACATGTTTAGAAATGAACTCTTCCGCAAACCTCTATATATCACGTAGGATACGTTTAGCTGCAAGAAACAGAAAACCTTCTTTAAAGTTAGACCATATGGAAATGGATTATCTCACTTAAAAACAAGATCTGAGGTAGGGTGGTTCTAGGATTGATGGATTCAGCACTTTAATGAAATCACTGAGCATCTAGATTCCTCCATCTCTCTGTTCAGTCATCTACAACATTGGCTGAATCCTGCAAATTATTTCCTTTGTGGTTATAAAATAGCTTCCTCCCTTCCCCACTACCTCCTCATTTTGGACAGTCCCTTTTCTGTCTCCTCTGTCACCGTTTTCTGACACTATCGCCAACACCTAGTTCGAGGTTGATGGCCCCTCCTGAGCTCCCCTGGCACTTGGTGTTTACCTCAATTAAAGCATTTATTAAACTGCATCTGTTTATTTACGTGTCTGACTCTTCCACTAAACTGTGAAGACCTTGAGGGCAGGGCTTTACATATTTTTCATTTTATCTATTACTAAAGGCCCAGTGCATGAAATTCGTGCATGGGTAGGGTCCCTAGCGGCTGCTGCCTGCCGGCTGGGGCCTCCCTTCCCCCAGCTGCCTGATGCCGCCACCTGCGGGGTGGGGTGGGGGGTTGGGGGGGAGCTGATGCCCGCCCTGTTCCGTGCTGCCCCCTGGTGGTCAGCGCACATCTTACTCCTGGTCAGTCGAACTCCTGCCTGTGGGGATAATTTGCATATTAGCCTTTTATTATATAGGATGGGTAGTGCCTAGAATAATGCCTGGCACTAAAAAATGTTTATCAAAGGATGAATCAATAACATCAAAATCAGGAAAGAGGTTTATGAACCTTCATATATTCTTATCACATAATCTTTGTTTAGTATTGCCAATGTCTTTGTGTTCTACTCATTATTTTAGAAATGGATGGAAATAATTTAAGACCACTCCAGAGGATAGGAGCCAAGATAATTTTCCCCCTTGAAGAATGAACTGTTTATTACTCAGATTTGAGACAAAAGAGCCAGAAACATTTATTTGGAAGGCAACTCAGACAGAGGAAGCAGTCACTTTCCTTTTGACTATCTTTCTAGTTCATTTTCTGAACCCCTCAGTGGATTTCCCACTTGGCAAAGAACTAACCTCTTTATGCTTTCATTTCCCTATTTGCAAAATGAGGATAATGAAAGTTCTTACGATTCTAGTACTGTATTGGGAAAAAAATGACTATATGGCACTTTAAGCATTATAGGAGAAAATATGGAATATTAATAACACAAATAATACTATTAAAATGGGAGCAGAAGAAAACAAGGGTATGCATTTATCTTATTACTTTAATAGCATGTGGAAAGTACATGGATAATATTGTTCACATTAATAAGACACCAACCTACATTAAAGACACTGCCAAGAATGTTTTATTTTTTCCCCACAATTCTGGCTTTACAATGCTTTTGCTTGAAAAATGTTTTTTTACTGATTTACAGAGACCTCGATATCTAAAAGACATTGTTAGTTAATCTGATTTAAGTTTGAAGCATATTATTTTGTACTTAATGGCTTACTTTCTAAATTCAAGATAAAAGCCATAGTATTGTTGTTAGAGGGTGTTAAAGAAGTAATTTGATTTAATGAGGAATAAATAATTTCAAATAATATGTTCAGCAGGCTATTTCTTCTGTGCTTTCAGTAATTAGTGTGAAGTCTAACTTTGAAGCTTTAAAGTCTTTATTCACTCCTCAGTTCATCAAACTTCAATGGCCCAGCATGTGCTGTGTCAGGAAGTGGGCATGCCACAAAGAACAAAGCACTAGTTTACCTTTGAGTTGCTTGCCTTTAACACAGGAGTCAGGCAAATAAACAGCTGCAAAATGAAATAACAAATGCCAAAATGGCATCAACATATCTCAGTTCTATGGCTTAGTGTTAAAAACATTTATATAATTATATACATTTTAATTATGCATTCTAATTATGCATTTTAATTATGATATGTCTTTTTTCTTTCCCACCCAAAGAACTTTCCATAAACCCTAATTTGATCATATATGTTTTTTATAATCATAATCTCAATTTTCCCCCATTTTGCTGTCTCCTAACTCCCTACTTCTATGCTTTCCTTTATCATTCTTTACTCCTTTTCTCCTGACTCATATTTATGCTTCAGCATTTCTGCTGTCACAGAGATCTTCTATCTCCAAGGTCATTCATCCATCCATCCATCCATCCATCCATCCATCCATCCATCCATTTATTCACCTTTCAACTGTTGTGCCAGGGATTCATTTAGTTTTGGAAAAAATGAAATGAATGAGACTTATTTCCTTCTCTTGAGGAGCTTGCTGTCTGGCCAACAGAAATGGAAATATCCATAAGAGCACAGGTGTATGATAGAAGTGTGGAGTACTAGGAAGGTAGGTAGTGAATCAACACTGCACAAGAGCAGGGTATCAAAGCTGAGAAGATATTCACCCAGTGAGCAAGGCAGAGAAAGACATTTTTGGTAGCAAATGACTGAGAACCTAACTCTAATTGGTTAAAATAAGGAAGGACATGTCTTATTTCACATAACTAGAAGTCCAGAGGTTGGTTGCCTTCAGAGTTGTTGAAAGAAGCAAAGAGAATGAATCATGAAAAGATGTGAGAACATGTTGTTTTTTCCTTTATCTAGGAACATTATTAGGAAAAGACTCTGCCAGCTTTAAGAAATCCTCAATGGTAAAATCTTTCACCTACTGGAGATTTCTGCCCCGCCCCCCCCATGGTTTCTCTGCATGACATAGCAGTTTTGAAGTTTTAATCACACATCACCATCTACCTGCAGAAGTCATTATGCAGTGGTTTCCTTCTTAAAAAAACTTTATTGTTGAAAGTACTACAGATGTTCCCCTTTAGTGCCCCAATTGCCCCCTTCCATCCAGTTCCCACACTGCCCCAGGTCTTCACCACCCTATTGTCTGTGTCCAGAAGTAATGCATATATACATATAAGATCTTTAGTTAATCTCTTCTTGTACCTCCCCCTCACTCTTTCCCTCTGAGATTCCTCAGTCTGTTCCATGTTTCTATGCCTCTGATTTTATTTTATTCCTCAGTGTATTTTGTCCATTACATTTCTTGTTTGTTTTTAATTTTTAGATTCAATTGTTGGTAGATATGTATTTTATTGTTCATATTTTTTAATCTTTTTCTTCTTCCTTTCTTAAGAATACTCTTCAACATTTCATGTAATACTGGTTTGGTGGTGATGAACTCCTTTAGCTTTTTCTTATCTGTGAAGCTCTTTATCTGACCTTCAATTCTAAATGAGACCTTTCCTGGGTAGTGTAATCTTGGTTGTAGGTCCTTGCTAGTCATTGCTTTGAATATTTCTTGCCACTCTTTTCTGGCCTGAATAGTTTCTTTTTCTTTTTCCTTTTTAAATATGGAATGCATCTTGAATTTGCATGTCATCCTTGCACAGGGACCATGCTAATCTCCTCTGTATCATTCCAATTTTTAGTATATGTGCTGCCGAAGTGAACACTGGCCTGCACAGTTTCTGTTGAGAAATCAGCTGACAGTCATATGGGTGATCCCTTGTAGGTAACTAGCTGCTTTTCTCTTGCTGCTTTTAAGATTCTGTCTTTGTCTTTAGCCCTTGGCAGTTTAATTATGAAGTGTCCAGTGTTAGCCTTTTTGGGTTCATCTTGTTTGGAACTCTCTGTGCTTCTTGGACTTGTAAGTCTATTTCTTTCACTAGGAGGGGAAGTTTTCTGTCATTATTTCTTCAAATAGGTTTTCAATATCTTGTTCTCTCTTTTCTTCTGGCACCCCCATAATGCAAATGTTGGTATGCTTAAAGTTGTCCCAGAAGCTCCTTACACTATCTTCATATTTTTGGATTCTTTTTTCTTTTTGTTTTTCTGACTTTGCCTTTTTGATTCCTCATATTTCAAGTCATTGATTTGATTCTCATAATCCTTTACTCTACTGTTGAATCCCTGTAAAGTATTCTTTATTTCAGTCAGTGTATGCTTAATTTCTGACTGATCCTATTCCATGTTTTTGGCATTCTCACTAAGTCCCTTGAAGTTCTCATTAAGATCCTCGAGTAACCTTATAACCATTGTTTTGAACTCTGTATCAAGTAGTTTGCTTGCTTCCATTTCTTTCATTTGTGACATGCTTCATTGTCTGAACATTTTGGCTGCTTCCCTGTATTTGTTTCTATGTATTAGGTAAAGCTGTTATGTCTCCTGGAATTGGTAGAGTAGCCTTGTATAGCAGGTGTCCTGTAGGGCCTAGTGGCTCAGCCTCCCCCGTCTCCTGTGCTGGGCACTCTAGGTGTGCTTCTGTGTGGGCTGTGTGCACAGTTTTGTTGTAGTTGAGCCTTGATTGCTGTTGGTGTCACTGGGAGGAATTGACCTCTAGACCATTGGCTGTGAGGAACAGCTGAGTCTACAATGGAAGAACTGCTGTGCAGGAAACATCCCTATGAAGTATCTTGATTTAGTGGAGCTTTGGTGCTCACTGAATCTGTCCTTTGAGTGTGTCACTTGTAGATGTGTAGAATTATAATTTGATATGGTTTGAAGCTGTCCATTGGGTGCACTGGCTCTGGAACCTCCAAGGAGGTGCAAAGTCAGCCACTGCCTGGGGCCACCCAGCAGGAGCTACATAAGGAGATCTGCAGATGGCTGCTACTTATATTGGGCTAGGACAGTGATGGCGAACCTTTTGAGCTCGGCCTGTCAGCATTTTGAAAAACCCTAACTTAACTCTGGTGCCGTGTCACATATAGAAATTTTTTGATATTTGCAACCATAGTAAAACAAAGACTTATCTTTTTGATACTTATTTTATATATTTAAATGCCATTTAACAAAGAAAAATCAACCAAAAAAATGAGTTCGTATATCACCTCTGACATGCGTGTCATAGGTTCGCCATCACTGGGCTAGGAAGTGCCCAGGCAAGGCCCAGCAATGAAGCAAGGCAGCCTAGTGCTAGTTCCAAGTTTTAGGCCTTTTACTGATAGGTTTGGGGCACACCCCAGGTGCTGCTTTTTTGAGAGATTTTAGCAAAGTCTGAAACGTGATCCAAGACAGGCCATTCATATGGAAAAGCAGCTGCAAACAACTTGGGTGGGGCTGCAAGTTGGATGGGGTGGAGCCTCAGGGAATCACCAGGGTGGAGCAAACAGTGTGGGCCATGCTGATGGAAACTCAGATATGGCTTAGGCAGTTGTTTCTTACATTCAAAGGATTTCCCTCTCACTTTCTTGATTTTCATTTGGGGAATTTTGGATTTGCCCCGTCTGGCTTATTGGATAGTATATCAGAGGTCTCCAGAGAAACAGAACCAATAGGTGCGTGTGTGTGTGTGTGTGTGTGTGTGTTTGTATCTCTATATTTCAATATCTATCTATCTACCTATCTCTTTATTATCTATCTATATGTCTATCTATCGAGAGTTTTTTAAAGATTTATTTTTATTGATTTCAGAGAGGGCGGGACAGGAGTAGAGAAAGATAGAAAAATCAATTATGAGAGAAAATCATTGGTCAGCTGCATTCTGCATGCCCCACACTGGGGATTGAGCCCACAACCCTGGCATGTGCCCTGACTGGGAATCAAATCATGATCTCCTGGTTCATAGGTCGACGCTCAACCACTGAGTCATGCCAGCCGAGCCTATCGAGAGATTTTAAGGAACTGTTTCACTGTGTGGATCTGCAAGTTTGAAATCCACAGGATAGGCCAGCAGATGGATACTCAGGCAGGACTTGCTGCAGTCTTCAGGTAGAATGCCTTTTTCTTTGGGAAATGTCAGTGTGTGCTCTTAAGGCCTTAGTTGATTGGCTGAGGCTTGCTCACATTATCAAGGGTAATCTTTACTGAAAGTCATCCGATTGTAGGTGTTAACCACATCTACAAATTACCTATGCAGCAACACCTAGATTAGCTTTTGATTAGATGCCTGGGTATCATAGCCTCGCCAAGTTGACACATAAGACTATCTCAAAGTTTGATAAAGAGAAAAGCATCATGGATTTTGGAATAAGAAGATCTGGGCTTTTTAGTCCCAATTCTTGCTAACTGGATCTTGAACACATTTCACAAACTTTTAGAGCCTGATTGTACTCTTCCAGAAATTTGGGAATGGAGCATAGATAAGAAGTTTCAAAGGCAGTGATGCCTCATTCCGCTCTAAAATTCTCAGAACCTTCCAAGGACACTCAATGTCCTGAATGTCTTCCCCTTCATCTTACAAGTACAGATGCTCCTTGGTTATGAATTTTGTGGTTATTATTAGAAAGGATTTGCAGTGAGTGAAAAGGTGTTTTCTGGGGAACAATGGATTCTCTAAAAAAAGGAATTGATGGAGTGATTCTTGGAGAGAGAAGTTATAATGAAATTGATTGGAAGGATTTACATTGAGGAAGATGCTAGAGCATTCTAACTACAGAGCCTTTGCTTTGGGGATCTCTGAGTTCCTTTTATTCCATTGCTGGTAGCTGTACTCTCCTCAAATCAACTCTGGGCTATTACCTAGGGTGATTTGTTCTTGCTCAAAAGAGATTTCTCTAGGACCACTGAGTCATTTTGAGCTTAATTTAGACCATGGTCAGTGTTAAGTACTCCTGAAAAGTGTCAAGTCACCAAACTCCTATATTTACTGACTTGGTTCAAATGATCAGTTTCCAAGTTTCTATACCTTCAAAATCTACTTTCCTCTGACAGTGAAAGTGTTGGCAGATGAATTAAACTGTTATAAAATAACTCTTAACTCAGACCCTGGCAAGCAGAGGTGACCTCAGCAATGTTTACTCACTACATCTTGTCCTTAGGAATCTAATCCAAGCTTTGGTGTTAAGTATTTTTCATTATCTCCAGATCTGTATTTCATCGTTGACTGAATAACTTTAAAAGGAAAGAAATTCATGATTTTCAGTATATAATGGATTTCTACAAGAGAAATTAAATGATCCATATGGTTGCAGACACATAGATGTGTTGTACCTGGCAAGATATGCTGCATCTTAGCTGAAGAAACCACAACTCAAACAAGTGAGGAAAATACAGCTTTTATTACTGAAAAGTCCAGAGTCAGGGCAGGGTTTGCAGTGGTTTGAAACAGGAGCTCAAAGAGGGCACCAAAGACCAGCTCTTTCCCTGCTGCTTCTCTGCCTTTCACAGTGTCACTTTCTTTTTCTTAAAGGCTGGCTCCTTCATATAGTCACAACATGGCTGTCAGTACTCCTTAGGGCTTTCACATCCTTGTTCAGTGGAGGAAAAAGTTCGGCAGGAAGAGAGAATATTTCTTTTCCAACCATAAAACAAACCTTAGAGGTTCTCTTACTGTCCTGATTTCCAAGGAGATGGAACTATAGTGCTTGGTTAGTTGATTTCAAAGTAAATCTTTTTAGCCATTACTGGGAAGGAGGATGTTGAAAATTTGGAAAGTAATTCACAAAATACTTTCTTTGATTATCAAAAGTAAGCATACTTTTTTCCTTCTTTGAAAAGCAGTAAAAATTCTCTTTGTCACCGGAGACTAGATGTAAAGTAAAAAGTTGAAATAAACAAAATGTCACTCATTTAAATATTCTATTTCTTTCCTCTCATTTTCTTTCTACTCATCCACACACAGTAAATATAACATGGATATGAGGAAAACCAGAAGAGAACTCTAGTTTACCATTAAGTCAGTATTAAATAATTATGATGACTCTCAGTAAATCTAGAAGTTCCTTCTATATACAGTGTATCTTGCCCAAGCATCAACATCTGAGGAAGCCCTTTGTGAGATTAAGGTGTGGAGACCAGGAAGAGAACTTGTTTTTAGTCTGATCTCCATGTCTTCAGTATAATGGTGCTTTCTACTACTCCCATTTTAACTTCTAGTTCCTGTTGCCATCCTGGTTAGGAGTGAATAGTAGAGCTTGGCTTGTCAGGAAAAGGGTGGTCATAAAAGCTTAGTGTATGAATGTCGGTGTGTGTGTGTGTGTGTGTGTGTGTGTGTATGTGCAGAGACATCTGTTACCACTCTTTTTATTATTACTCTTTCAATAATATCATAATAGCTTTTGAACTGGAAACTTTGTGCCTAGGGAGCACTTATTAAAATTATACTTAGGCTGATAAAAATTGTCCATGTTTACATTTTCTTTTATACAACATTGTATTTGAATGGCTAAGATTACAGGAGCCTTATCCACCTCAATAGATACTGTCACACACATGAGGTCCTCACACATATGAGAGGATTATATACCCTGGTAGAAATTCAGTTCATATTCCATACTGGAATTTGAATTGGCTGTTTATATTCTATACCAAGCTCTTCTTATTAACAACCAAAATTTACTAGAAGCTATATGCTTTTGCATCTAGACTTGGCCCTGAAAAGGAAGGAAAATTCTAGTCTGAACTTTTAACAAGTGGAATGGGAAAAGCAAACTTTTGAGTGTAAAGCAGGGTCCCTTCCAGGCATTCTGTCCCTTCCCTGGGCTCTGTGCCAGGGTGGTTCAGAAAGCCACCT